AATAATAATAACAATAATAATAATAACAAGAACAAGAACAACAACAACAACAACAACAACAATAATAATAATAATAGTAACAATAATGGTAATAAGATAATGATAACAACAATAATGATAATAATGATAAAAATAAGATACTACTACTAATAAAATAAATCATTCTTATTATTATCATTATTATTGTTACCAAGATCATCATCATTACTATTTCTATTATTACAATTAATACTACTATACTAATTAATTACCATTATTATTATTCATTATTGCTACTATTGTGACCATTATTTTCATTGTTGTTGTTTCTACTCCTCGTTATTCATATTAGTACTATTGGTATAGTTATTGATGTTTGGCGTGATTTTTTGCTATTTTATTTCGTTTATTATCTTCATTTTTGTTGTTCTAATAAATAGCAATACTATCGTTAGTATAATCATCATCGTAATTATTTCCATGGTAAGAAAAAAAGGAAGCGAGAGAGAAAAAAAAAACGAAAGGGAAAAATGGTATGAAAAGAGACAGAGAAATAAAAATCGGACGAGAAAAGATAGAGAGAAAAAAAATCGAAAGGAAAAAAAACGGATGAGAGAGAGAGAGTGAGAAAAAACGGACGGAACAACCGACCAATTAGCTAGCTTCGCCGTTCGTCCTCCGCCAAACGGGTAGCGTGCGAGGTTTGCATAAACTGATGTATCAGGATTTACGTGTTGATGCCACTTGGATAGCGATAACACCAACATTCTTCGATCTGGAGGAGCTTCCCGGGTACCAGAGCGAGGCTATAGACAGTTACCGCCGGGACACTCGGTCGGAACAGCTGGAGTCGCCTTAGTGATTCGTCGTCGCGTCATTAATATTTCTTCTCTGATCAGATGTTTCTGCGACTGCTGGCGACGTTGTTACTAGTCATCATGACGGCGAGGGGGATAGCGTGCAAGGACCATGTATGGAAGCGAGTCTTTGTGTCCCAGTCACGCCTGGTCGCCCCTGTTCACCACCAGAGGTTCACTCTTCCGCCTTCCGCGCTCCCAAGGAACCTGAGATGCTCCGCAGTATGCCAGCTGCAGGAATGGTGCAAACTCTGGTGCCAAGACCCTACTGCGCCCTTCACTGCTTGCTTGCTGTCTGATGTGATTGTCATGCCAGCGTATCATGAGACTCACGCAGCCGATGTCTTGACCTGTTACACACGACGCCATGTTGACTTCGTCACCAACGGGACAATCGTCGGTTCGCCCGACAAGGAAGATTACCCGTCAAGGAAAATTGAAAACCTCGTTGATGGATTCTATGGCTACACAATGAGTGAGTGCTTCCTGACCATAAGCACTAAGAATCCGTGGTTCACCGTCGATATATGCGAAGTGAAACCCATAAGCCACGTGAGGATAATCTTCCAGAACAACATCAACGCCGAATTGCACACCGACTACGAGGTGCGACTAGGGCGTGTCGAGGTGCCAGAGCACGAGCTACACAACCACATCCGCATGGGCTTCTTTGCCGGGCCTGCGACCAAGGGCGAGGAGGTCTTGTTCAGCGTCCCCGAACCCATCCTGGCGAGGTATGTGACGGTGAGGCGCTTGGTGGTCGGCGAACTCCAGTTGTGTCACATTGAAGTGTACTGATGTGCAGTGATTAATATTGAGACAGGTTTGGAATGGAGTGGTTACTCTAGGTGTTTGAGGGTATTTAAGGTAAAAAGTATCACAGAGTGTGGCTACTTGTAAAAGTCTGTGATCACTGAATGTTTACCTATAACATAAAACGTTAATTTCAGTTATAAAATTGATTTTTAATAATTCGTTTTACAAATCTCTGTAATTCAGGGGTGTTGTTTCATTCATATCACATTATATGTATGTATATATATATATATATATATATATATATATATATATATATATATATATATATATATATATATATGTACATATATGACAAAGACGTACGAATAATTTTCAGGAAACATACTTATTTTTTGGTCATCTTATTTTTTACAAATATATGAAGGTAACTGATTTATCCTTTATTTCTGAGTTAACTATTAGAGGTAGTGTCACTTTACTTAATCAGTATGGGTTACCACATCCATATATTTCATGATTCTTTAAAGAAAAAGGTTTTGCAGCAACTGGTTAGGCAGATACTATTGAATAAGTTATCCTGACTGACTTGTATGTTTCCAATGTACCGCCAAATATTTATAAATACACACTGATATACTTGTACTCTGTTGTTATTAATACCCCTTTCCATTATAATACCACGAATGTCAGGTCCACTAGTACAGCGGGATAAATGAGTACTCAGTATGCGGGTTATATAACTTAACACTTCGCGATCGTTCGAACAAAAACTAGGAATACAGTATTTTAGTCATAATCTTAAAATTCCAAAGATCGTGATGTATAAAACAAGGACAGTTAATGAACCTTGGGTCACATATCTCTTGACACCCATGCTTCACACATTTGACCAAGACCCTAAATGATGAACGAGTATGACCGTTCGTGAATAACCAAAGCACTTTAATGCTTACAGTTTCTGTTTAATTATCTGAATCTGTCTGGCTGTTGATAAAAAATAAAGGATAAAATAGTGTATGGTTGTATAGGTGAAGAGTTGTATAAGTTTGTCTGTGTTAATTGCTAGAAATAGTTTAGTGTATGTTGTGTTACATGCATATTTAATTATGTGTTCCTGTTGCTTCAAGTACTGTTGTTGTTTTTTTCTTTTCGTACTATTGTTTTATCCGTTTGAAGACTCATTGATGTTTACAAATGAGTTTTGGCTTATTGAAAGTTTTTATGGCGTACAATTTTTTTTCACAATGCTATATATGCAACTTTAATAACCTCTCTCTCTCTCTCTCTCTCTCTCTCTCTCTCTCTCTCTCTCTCTCTCTCTCTCTCTCTCTCTCTCTCTCTCTCTCATATTTATGGCAACTTATGGACTATTATTATCATTATTGTCATTATTATAATTAAATTAATAATGATTATTATATCATCATTATTATTATCATTATTATTATTGTTATTATTATTATTATTATTATTATTAATATTAATATTATTATTATTATTATTATTATTATTATTATTGTTATTATCATTATTATTATTATTGATCATTATCATTATTCTGTGGCGACCCACTGAACATGAGCTTGCGACCCGCACTTTTAGAACCTTGACCTACTGAATCACTTGTGTTTATCTGCGTTTGGATGATTCATTAACTGTCATGGACTATATGACATGCACACATGAACATACCCAACCAAATAAATTCACACACACACACACACGCACACGCACGCACGCACACACACACACACACACACACACACACACACACACACACACACACACACACACACACACACACACACACACACACACACACACACACACACACACACACACACACACACACAACACACACACACACACACACACACACACACACACACACACACACACACATACACACACACACACACACATACACACACACATACACATATGTGTGTGTGTGTGTGTGTGAGTCAGTCAGATAGACAGACATACAGAGACAAAGAGAAAGTGTGTCTGTGAGCATGTTGGTAGATAAATAAATACTAAATTCCCGCAAACATAGATATACACACACAATACACTTACATGAATATAGACACAGATATAAGAATGAATCATACTGCGCCGATACAAGTCTCGGCACTTTGTACCAGAAATCACACGTACCTCAAACAAGTTAGCGTGACTGTGTGGTGATGGGAATGCATGATATACCAGGTGTAGTGACTCACGTGTAGAACTGAATGGAAGACCGAGGCGATCGACTAAGCACATACTTTTAACCTATCAAAACAGTGATTTTTTTTAACTTGCATTTTTTGGACTTTGGAGTGACGGTTTTAGATTTCGGATATAAAAAATGTTGTGATAACGTAATGATCTTCCAAGTTTCCAGCATAAAAAACGCGGTATCACGATTTTTTTAACTTTCATGACTAAAATTTCGACAGAAAACTTAAGCGAACATTTAGTACGTTATCTTTCATATTGCAGAGCTTTTCACAGGTCCATGGCATTGTAGTCCCCATGCGAAAGAACCTTGGCATACTGTATGTGTGTGTGTGTGAGGGAGAGAGAGAGAGAGAGAGAGAGAGAGAGAGAGAGAGAGAGAGAGAGAGAGAGAGAGAGAGAGAGAGAGAGAGAGAGAGAGAGAGAAAGAAATAGAGAGAGAGAGAGAGAGAGAAGGAGAGAGAGAGAGAGAGAGAGACAGACAGACAGGCAGACAGAGACAGAGAAACAGAAACAAAGTGTGTGTCTGTGATAGAAATCGAGAGAGAGAGAGAGAGAGAGAGAGAGAGAGAGAGAGAGAGAGAGAGAGAGAGAAAGTGTGTGTGTGTGTGTGATAGAAATCGAGAGAGAGAGAGAGAGAGAGAGAGAGAGAAGTGTGTGTGTGTGATAGAAATCGAGAGAGAGAGAGAGAGAGAGAGAGAGAGAGAGAGAGAGAGAGAGAAAGTGTGTGTGTGTGTGATAGAAATCGAGAGAGAGAGGAGAGAGAGAGAGGAGAGAGAGGAGAGAGAGAGAGAGAGAGAGAGAGAGAGAGAGAGAGAGAGAGAGAGAAAGTGTGTGTGTGTGTGTGATGTGTGTGTCTGACGACAGAATGGACATACTGGGTCGTGAAGATAGAGTTCAAATTCAAACTAAGTCATGATGAAAGAAGTCTGAAGAACCCTGTAGATGGAAAACCACTGATATGGAAATGATAAATCTTTGCCTGTCACGTGAATGTCATACATCGAGGATTGTTTCCTTCGTCATGTCGTTAATTATACATTCCGTGATCTTCATCTCATGCTAAAAAAAATGTCAACACATTTTCAACTAAATCATATTATTCATTTCCACGACTGGTGGGAAGAGACAATACTTTCAACAGCATCAGTAATGTTTATTATCTCAATGTAATGGCAATGATATGAGTGTATTTCTATATATTGGATTAATTATTCTCCAAATCTATTGACTGAATTCTAACTTTACTCTCCTCTAAAGTTAAGACACAGAACAGGAGTTGAACAAAAACACTTGACTTTCCAGAAACGAATGAATATCTCGACCTGCGAAGACGTTGTCAGTTCAAAGTCAAGTGATTTGTTTATTTTAGTTTACAACTGTGGTTGTCATCCTCGAGGCGTAAGATGTCTTGGAATCATCCACCTGCAGATGAAGCAAAAACAATTATCGTAAATAGGCTTCAAAAATGTTTGTGATTTCGTGTATATACTAACTTTCATATTAAGTGACACATTCTTTCTGTTTCTGCTTTTCTTCCTCTGTGAAAATTGATTATGAGTGACAGGAAATGCACAATCGGACAAGAAATGCACAGTACAACCAGCTGTTTCATCTTCTTCGAATGCGCTTATGAGAAGAGAAGTTGGCACTCGAATATAAAGTCGAATATTCTATGTAAAAGGCAGGTGATAACAATTCGAAGTCACTTACCTTCATGCCCAACAGCTTTTTAATCTCTGTCAAGATAGTAGTGTCGGTTATGATAGTAAGTATGAAGATCCCGAGGCCTTGGAAGGAGTTAAGGAGTGTGAACACGATGGCCATGAAGGAAGTTGCTGTGGGAATGAAGTACTACGAATGACTATTTTTTTATGTATGTGTGTGTGTATGTACATGCAGTTTGTATGTATGTATTCAGAATAAAACACGTGGATATATATATATATATATATATATATATATATATATATATATATATATATATATATATATATATATATATATATATATATATATATATATATATATATATATATATATATATATATATATATATATTTCTGACATTGCTAATTTTACGTAGGATATTAGCACGTGCTAAAACTGACACTTCATCAGAGTGTCAGTGGCATATCAAAAACATCACTCCCTCGCATGGCTATATCGCAATACCAGTCTTCTGATGGAGGAGGAAGACGAAGGAACACTAACTATAATTCACAGACCTTCAGCAAAGTAGAAGAATCCCGTGATCCAGGTGGCCCCGAGGAGGAGGAACAGGGACACGGATCCTTTCAGCCTTTTGAGGAGCTGCTGGCGCGATCTACGGTGCTGCAGGTCGCCCACGCTCCTGTCACGCCACACCACGCGAATGATCATCCAGAAGACCACCAGGTTGCTCTGCGGGAGCGGGCAGCGGACGAGAGTTCTCTCGCGAAAGAATGACATATATTTGTGTGTGTGGGTGTGTGTAAGCATACACACACACACACACACACACACACACACACACACACACACACACACACACACACACACATACACACACACACACACACACACACACACACACACACACACACACACACACACACACACACACACACACACACATATATACATATATATATACGCATATATATCGAAGGCCACCTTCAGTCGATGTCGACTATGGCATTACTGTCTCTACCCACTCCCTTATAGGTAGTGGCAATGCCTGGGCGAAAGAATGTGAGGAGCAAGTTGTTACCCATGCAACATTCTCCCTCTCTCCACGCAGCTGATGAATATAAATGAACGGCATAGACCGATACAGTGACAATGAACTACCTTCGGAACTCCTGCTAAGGATTTTTCCTCGGGCAGCCGTCGGGCATCACTATCGTATCTAGGTAAGTCTAGCCCAATATATATATGTGTATGTGTGTGTGCATATATATACACATATATGTATGCATAATATATATATATATATATATATATATATATATATATATATATGTGTGTGTGTGTGTGTGTGTGTGTGTGTGTGTGTGTGTGTGTGTGTGTGTGTGTGTGTGTATGTATGTATATATATATATATGTGTGTGTGTGTGTGTGTGTGTGTGTGTGTGTGTGTGTGTGTGTGTGTGTGTGTGTGTGTGTGTGTATAAATATATATATATATATATATATATATATATATATATATATATATATATATATATATATATATATATATATATATATATGGGGGGCTGAATGTGTGTGATTGTGTTGAAAGATGAAGAGGGAAAGAGGCTGTACAATGTAAAGCAATGGTTCACTGATTATTAAATTTAAGCATCAGCAGAAATATTAGCAAATGAATGAGCTTTGCTTCTTACTAAAATTACCCAAATTGATCAAATATCTTTCCTACATTTGTAATACCAAGTCCACAGTTCTCACCACCATGACAAAAGCGAGGGGTCCAGCAAAAGCCCAGATCAGTGCACCTTCGAGCCAACACCTACACAGGGAGAAAAATGCAAAATCTTTTTAGACAGCATCGATTTTCAAGAACAACCATAAATATATTTCTTATCTCATTAAAACAGCTAACACCCATGGATCATTTAACGTGATCTACACAATCCTTCAAGAATCTAATGTAAAACATTTCTTACACTGCGATGAAAGTTTCCCTCACACATACTCA